GGGGGGGGGGGGGGGGGGGGGGGGGGGGGGGGGGGGGGGGGTGTTAAACCCACTTAAACCACACGGTTTTAGGCACCTATGTAGGTGCAGTGTGGTTCTGCAGATAGCTGTGCTGGGGGGAGGGCACTGGAGACAGAAATGACTGTAAACTCAGATGTTTTCAGATTAGAACTTAGTAAGTTTCTTTGGCCAGGCATGAGAGATAAGAATTTCATAGTCTCGACAACGCGGATGACCCACAATCACCTGACTTGTCTCGTTGAAGAGCGCATAAACTAACGCTAACGCTAACATCCTATCATACCAAAAAGAAAAGAAACTTGAAACTCTAATAATTATATATTTTGCTTGCTGATAACCGTTAAATGATAAATTTTTTGGTTACCCATTTCTTTCTGTGGTAGATAATAATATTTCATAGGAACAGTTACTGTAATGGGAAAGTATGCAAGACTATTAGCCAATTTTGAGTTCCTAAGGAAATTAGGAGGTTTTTATGAACCAAATTAGATTTTATTAATTATATGGGTATTTTTTAAATGTTTATCAATTTGCAGTATTCAATAATACCCTGCAAATTAGTTCACCAATGAAGATAAGATGGAATGCTTATATTAGTAACTCGATATGAATTCTTTGGATTACTTAAAGGTTACTGATTTTGTGTATCTGGGGAGAGAGTTTTGACTGGTGTTGTGTCGATATTGTCAGGAAGATTTTGAATATGGCAAGTGGGATGAGCATCACACCTACCATGAGGGTGATGATAAAGGTATAGGTTCATTTAATTATTTTCTTTTTGCTTAGTTTTGAGTTCCCTACCTAAGTGTTGATCAAATAAATAAAATTAGCGCCACTGCGTTGTTGTATGTATGTTTTTAAATTAAACGTTTCATGCAACATTTGAGAAAACAAATGGTTATTGACTAATAGGGACTGTAAGTGAACATAATGTCCAATTCTTTTTTTTTTTTTGGGGGGGAATGTAACATCAATGTCCCATTTTATATTAACCGAGAATCAAACTATGTCTCTCTTTGTGGAACAAAAACAGATATGACCATGTTAATTGTGGGATATCTGTTTTTTAATCAAACTTATATTTTAGGAACATTTTGGGGATCAATTGCGGAAGATTATGCAGCAGCTGGACCTCCTACCGGTTTCCAGGGTATGAATGTGTGTTACGGACCTATAATATAAGTTATTAGGCCAACATTATTGGCAATGAGAATTTTTTGGTTGATATCTTTTCTTTTTGGTGTGGAGCAGGCATAATCTCATGGTTATTCCTTCCAGCAATTGCCATTGGGATGTACTTCAATGTTCCGGTAATACTGATGCTCGGTTTTTGCATTGGTTAAAGATTTGACAACTAAACATAGTTCCATCAATGTTAGGAATAAGCAAAACAATCTTACATCACTTGATAGAGAGAGTTTATGTCACCTCTATTTTTGTGCACATCCCTTGTGGTCTGTGAGTGATTGTTCAGATCTCGAGTTTACATTGCAGCCCCGAGTTCAAAGGGCTCATGGTTGAGAGTTGGGATGGTTCTCAGTCATTGAAAGAGAATTTGAGAACCAGGTGTAGTTATACTAATGTTAGGCATGAGCAAAACGAAGTGATAAGATCACTTAATAGAGAGATGTTATTGAACGTCTTTCCTTGCAGGGGGAGTACTTATACATTGGAGCAGCTGTGTATGCGGCAATATTTTGCATAATTGAGATGGACAAACCAAGTGAACCCCACAACTTCGAGCCCGAGATATACAATATGGAGAGGGGAGCTCGCGATAAGTTGATTTCCGACTACAACACCATGGACATATGGGATTTTAATGAAAAGTATGGCGATCTCTGGGATTTCACTGTTAAGCAGGATGACATAATAAAGAGATGATTTTCATCAAAAGCATTGAAATTTATTCACATACCAACTTGGATACTGAAAGGTACCTAGTATATACAAGTTTTATTCGGGCCTCTCTTTCCTCCTCTCATAATGAATTCACAATGTATGAGTTTAATGATGCAGGATAAAGAGATGTTCCGTTCAGAGGTTTGCAAATAGAAGCGTTGGACAAGGCTATGGTGACTTGAGGAGATTTGGTGGAATTTCTCCCAATTCTAAACAAAAAACAGAGTGCAAGAAGACCAATTATTGCATTTAAAGAGATTCATCATGGCTCACCTGTGTTGTAAAGTTTTAAAATTATTGTGTTTACCTCTGAAAGTCTGAATACTATAGGAGGTATATATCTGATTGATCCTTAATTGTGTATTGCAAAAAATGCAACTTAGTGTATGTTTGTACAAGACTCTTGTCACTGTAGGAGCTGAAGGGAGTTAGATATTCTGTAGAAAAAGACTACATGAAATGTAAAAAAAGATTTGGATTCCTTCTTGGTGACTTAATTGGTCTTTGCAAGTGCACATGCTTATGGATTAGTTTGTGTATGACAGGAGGGCAAAAGGAGTAGGATGTTGGAACAGAGCACTGAAAGTTTTCAGAACTACTGCTGTTGAATATTAGGCATTAGATCCTCTGGGTGCAACTTGAGCGGGTTGAGAGGTCAATTCTAGATATATAATTTTTAACTCTAACCCTAACCTTAACTCTAACCCTACCTCAATCCGAGGTACTCAACCCGAGTACTATCCAAGTTTAATTTGGGCATGCTCGGGTTGAATTCGAGTAACTTAATTCCGGCTGATTTCAGGTTGACTTGGGATGAAGGGCGAGTCACAGATGAAGAGAGTGGGAGTGAGAGAAAGAGGAATAACGAGTGAGAGAGAGAGGCTGAAAGTCTGAAACGACTCAGACGAGTGACGATTGAGAGAGGGAGGAGTGACAAATGAGAGAAGGATTTGAGAGTAACAGAGACGCAGGAGTGAAGACTTAAAGTGAAGTGAAAATTTTGACTCTAAAAGTAAAGATAAATATTAATTCTAGTTAAATATATTTATACTAATAATTGTCCGTTCATAAAGTCACTCTAGAAAAAAAAAGTCAAACAATTGTTCAAACATGAAGAAATTGTACAACACAAAACTTTTTTCACTTTTATTTTTATCACATTATACAAATAATGTATCAAAAATACTAAATAACTAAAAAAAACTAAAAAATATAATTATAGCTTCACCTCGTACTTTTTGAATACTCAATTTAGCTTGATGTTAGAACTAAGCATTAATCATCATAAGAGACTTTAACAAAGCATGGAAAACAAAAATAATTAAGTGCATGAAGACAACAAAAGAAATAAAGTATTTAAGTGTTTATGTGTTGCTACCTGTTGAAAAGTAAAAAAACATACAACATAAAGAATAGTTACCGGAAATCTAGTTACCCTCTAGCTGAGTACCTTTTTTTCTTTGTACGCATGTTTGATAACCCATTTTGTGAGCAATTATCTAACCCAAATAACATAGACAGCTTATAATTAATCCTCTATGTAGCATTATCATAACCCCTATGCAGTATTTGAATACGCAAGCATGCAAACTATGGAAACCACAACATACTACATGCCATTGATAATATGGTTGGGTGCATGCCACATAAAAAAAAAAAAAAGAAAACTACTAAATGACATTAAGTTGAGCAAGTAGGAAGGACACATCATAAATACTGAAAATCAATACACCAATTTACGCCTAATGAACTGGACAATAAATACACCTGAAGACACTACATAATAAAAAAAAATCTAATGCCAAGCGCATACACCATACAATAGAAAAGTCTAGAAAGAGAGAAATCCATATTTAAGATTTTCAATGCTTAAGATTCAACAAAAACAAATGCAATGCTTCTAAATTCCTTCCTAAAAAAACACACTCAAACAGTATACCAAGCATTAAACCAAATACATTACACAAATCTAAAAATGGAGTTACCAAATCCGCACCCATGAGTCCCAGATTATTGTTTTTTTAAACTAAACCATGACTATGTGAGGTGAAATTTGTATTCAAAAACTATTTAAAATCATAGTTGGGTGAGGAATATTAGCCTTACCCCTTTTGCTGGCATAATTACATAAATCTTAAACAATAGAAATTTGAATAGAAGCCTAATCTTTAGGATAAGACAGATGGGGACTTTACCATTACACCACATTGCTGGAGTACCCAAAATTATGCACTAATGAGAGAAAATTTAAAAAGATCATTGCCTTATCCACCCCCTTAACGGTGTTGTTCCCCCGAAAATTCGCTAAAACCCGAGATTTAGCAGTTTAACTAATATCCCCAAAAATTACTGAATTCTTTAATGACAGCCCGAAAGCACATTCATTGGAGGTCATACTTGTGACAAACAAAAACTTAATAGTGGTGCCAAAATTAGATAATAAAAATAAAACAATCAGGTGCAGGTGTAACCAACAATAAAAATGAAGTAAATTTGTTTTTTAGTTGACTGTGCAACATTGGTTCCAAATTTCCTTGGCAGAGAAGGCTGACTGATTGACCGGCTGATATGAATTGATGTCAGAAGTACCTAGAGCAGGATAAACCTGCTCTAAAAACTCCATACAGGTCCGTATAACGAACATCTCCATGTTACACAGATGGATGCGCAGAGCAGGTAGAAGGGCGATAACATTCCATCCTAATATCAAATTGTCAAGAGAGTGGGAAATAACAATTGGGAAACCAATAGGAAGTTTACGCATATACCCACATTGAGTGACTCAATTTGTCCATATTTGAATGATTGCATGAAATGATTGTTACATGTGATANCAAGAGAGTGGGAAATAACAATTGGGAAACCAATAGGAAGTTTACGCATATACCCATATTGAGTGACTCAATTTGTCCATATTTGAATGATTGCATGAAATGATTGTTACATGTGATATTTCATATGCATTTAGGTTGAGAGGTATTCTTTATAAGAGTTACCCTATTGAGTGTTGACTCACCCTTTATGAAAATATTTTTCAGGTATTACACAAATGTCCATCGAAAGCGAGGCCATGGGCCCGCTTTGACGACAGAGCCCGTCTATGACTCTTCTTTTAACATTGTAGTTCCTTGTTTATATTTATTTTTGGGCTTGTGTAATTTTTGTAACAAAAACTTATTTATATTTAAAAAGCATGTATAAGGGACTCTTTTGAGACATTTATTATTTCATAAATGAATATACATAATGATGATGATTATAGTAGTATCTAATACTATGCTAAGGAGTAAGGATGAATGGGCCCGATGTAGTCAATGTTATATGCTTGAACAAATTGCGTTTTGGGTAAAACTCCTTGTACAAAGGAGATTTTACCTAAATTTGGTTAAGTTATAGATCCCGGTAAATGAGGCATAACGGCGTGGTATCGAATTACACGATATCCACGGATATTCCACGGGTTAATGGGTGATCAACTAGGTAATTACTGACCCCCGGATTTTGGGGTGTCACACAATGTAGACTATTAAATCATAATTTTTGAAATGATTTGAACTGTCTTTTATGTTGAAATTATATTGTCCGTTAAATATGTTTATGTTTTATCTCAAAATGATCTGGACCTCTCTTTGTCTCTAAAATTCAAACTCAGTTCTACTTTATTATATAAATATTTATGTATATTTGGGTTCAACCCTATTTTAATATTCGGGTTTAACCTTACAACCCAACGTCTCAACCCGAGGCTTGTCCAAATTCAATTCGAGTAAGATTTTTTTGTTCAGACCTAATTCAAATATTAAAAATTATAACCCAATCTTTGTTTTTTTTAGTTTGGACTAGAGTTAAATTCGGATTGGCTCGCCCAAGTTGCACCCTAATTTAGAGGTAAGACTCAGCAACGGACCGTGTCCCACGGGCTGGACCCAAAACCCATGTGGCCCACTCAGCCATTGGCTAGTGTGATCGTCGCATGTAGGTCGTTGGATGGGCCACTAGCCCAGCTGTCAGGTCCCTGGGCACCTATTCTTCGGCTGGACTGGCCCGTTCTGTTGGACCACAAATGCCCAATTACACATATGACCAATGAAGTTGCTGAACCTTTTTTTTTTTTTTTTGTATCTTTAAACTCTCTAATTGCATCAATTGAACACTTTTGTCTGTCTCTATTAGTTTTTTAACAGAAAGTGGCGAAGTGTGTCACTCACGTGATATAAATTGCTAAAGTAAACCACACATATGACTCTTGTATCAATTAAGCTCCTGAATCTTTTTTTTTTTCCTTTTTTTTGTGTCAATTGAGCTCTTGAATTTTTAATTGTGTCAATTTAATTTGAGGGTCATATGCATAATTTACGCTAAATATTGAGAGTGATTTACAATCTTTCTGATAGAACTGCCTAGAAATGCAAGAACAACAAAGTTTGGCCATCAAAGAAAAAGATGTCAAGACTTCGTTTCAAACTTTGCTACCCTCTCTCTGCAAGTACTCTCAAAGCTCATAAAGGAAAACTAAAACCACAGTAATTTGATTGTCCAAGCTTTTGCCACGTAGAGAGTCTGGTCTCCATATATGGGTTTTAAAAATATGACACAGCATGAATTAGAGAATTTTAATATTTCTTAAATAGCTATTTCCGTAAACGAGTGAAACTTACACGACAAGACATGATTAATAAACGAATCGAATATATATGAAACTAATTAAAAGACTCATTTATATATCGGATATACATAATTTATACATAATACGAACTCGATAAAACATAATTCGTTAAATACGAATTACTAAATGAATCGAATATTTTTTAACACAAACTCCCTAAAGCGGGAGACGAAGCCACCCCCTCCAAACACAATTTGCAGGTTGTCCTCTTGGTTCTCATTTTCTATTTTTGCTTTCAGGTGTTCATGGTGAAGACTTTATCAGAGACTAAAAATTGCCTGAAAACCCTCGTCTTTGTGAAAAAATGGTAAATCTTTATTCACAACTACCACTGTGTCAAAGACCCAATTGGCATTTTTGTTCAAACCTTAAGGGCGAAAAGTCTTTTGGATCTAAATTCAATTCACCAGAAAATCAAATCAAACCACGTGAGTTTCCTCACGGGTACAATACTTTTTCTCTTCCTTTTTCTTGATTTTTAAAAACGGTATTATTGTATTTGTATGGGTCATCATAAAATAAAATGAGCCATGGTAAAATGGAAAATATTTTCCATTCATACGTATTAACTCAACATATTTGGTTAAATTCAAGTGCTGCGTGTTCAATAAGTCCATCCATAGTATAAACTAGGGTATATTTCAACAGATTCATTCCGACGATCTCAAATAGACTCATTTAACGGTCACCAACATCCCTCTTAAAATCATTTACGTTACAATGTACCTTCTGACACGAATTACCTTCGTCATTAAATAATGAAGAGTAAATTGTACATATGATCTTCAAATTATGACCTTAGTGTTAATTAAGCTCCTTATTTTTTATTTTTTTTGGTATCAATTGAACCCTTAAACTCAGTTCTAAATTTGTAGATGTGATAGATATTTATCTACATAAGTATTCTCATACAGGCTATGCGGGGGGAACATTGATTATTTTCCCTAAAGTTAACCTGATACATGGAGGGGATGTCTCAATTGAGTATTTTTGTTTGCTTACGTTAGAGTGTGTTACTCACATGACTATACGACACAAAAAAAAATGAAAGTGTTCAATTTACATAATTAGAGAGTTTAAGAGCTCAATTGACCAAAAAAAAAAATCAAGAGCTTAATTGACACAAGGGTTATAATTTAAAAGTTCTGCATGTACTTTATTCAAACTATTTGTATCACGTGAGTGACACACTTCACAACTTTTCATTAAAAAAATTAACGAAGGCAAACAAAAGACTTCAATTGTTACAATTAGAGAGTTTATGAACTCAATTGACATAAAAAAAAAATTAAAAAACTTAACTGATACCAGAGTCCTAACTTGAGCATTATATTAGATTTTTTTATTTTTGGTCACTATTGCAAAATTTATGGGGAAGGAATTGATGAAATTTGAATCTGGGATCTATCGATCCAACGGTCGATTGTAGAGTCGTTAAGCCACCGCCGACTTCATTTAGATGTATTCTGAATCTAGGATCATCCCTTAGAAATAATAGTCGTAAGAAATTTGGATTCTCCTATTACTTATCTATCATTTCTCCAAGAGTCTAACATGTGATATCATCCATGTTCGTAGATTGAATAAAAAACCAATGACATAAAATATCTGTGGACTATAAGATAAATCTTCTATCACCATGGTTGACCCGAAATTCTTCTAGGTGGGACCCATCAAGACATAATTGCTCATGGGTTCTTGATTGATAAGAGATTAATACACAGAGCCATCTTGATCTGAATCCATGAAGGGCAAGCCAAAATGAGAACCAGTCTCAGCCACCTATTTTCACTTCTAGTCTTCTTCCTCTACTGCCACCATAATCTTTACCATTCACAAGCCCAAGAACCACTCACCACAGGCTATAGCTGCACACCAAATGTCACCACCTACCCATGTGAAACCTTTGCCTTCTTCAGAGCCATGGCTCCTAACTTTCTTGATCTTGCCTCCATTGGAGACCTCTTCTCAGTTAGCCGGCTCATGATCTCTACTCCAAGTAACATATCATCCCCAACCTCCCCTCTTATCCCAGGCCAATCTCTATTTGTTCCATTAAAGTGTTCATGTAACTCCATTAATGTCAGTTTGAGCCTCTCTTATGCTGGGCTTAACTATACTTTCAAGTCAGGAGACACCTTTTACCGTGTGTCCACCAACATGTTCCAAAACCTTACTACTTACCCATCTGTTGAAGTTGTTAATCCAACTCTCATCCCAACCCGTATTGAAATTGGCACCACTGTTGTCTTCCCAGTGTTCTGCAAATGTCCCAACAGAACCCAATTGCAAAATCAAACCAATTATCTCATCACTTATGTTTTCCAACCTTCTGAAACCTTACCTTCAATTGCTGCCAGGTTTGGATCAAACATACAGTCTTTAATTGATGTTAACGGGAATAACATTAACCCCTTTGACACAATCTTTATTCCGGTCTCACGGCTTCCTCAGCTTTCACAACCTCCTCCTGCTGCAACTCCTGCTCCTGCTCCTGTTGCCTCTGTTGCTCCTAGAAGGACTGGAGAGAGGAAAGGAGTTGTCATAGGATTGGCAATTGGCTTGGGATTTTGTGGGCTTCTGCTGATATTGGTTGGTGGTCTGTGGGGTTATAGAGGGAGTTTGATGAAAAGAAAAAGAAGAGTGAAGAGAGACGAAGAGAGAAAGCAATTGGGTAAGGGAGGGAAGAGGTTGAAAGAGGAGGTGGAGGAGAATTTGATGGCTGATGTTTCAGGTTGCTTGGATAAGTATAGGGTGTATGGGATTGAAGAAATAAGAGAAGCCACAGATTGGTTTGATCAGAGATGGGTTATTCAAGGGTCTGTGTACAAAGGTTGTATTGATGGAGAGATGTACGCTATCAAGAAGATGAATTGGAATGCCTATGAAGAACTCAAGATCTTACAGAAGGTATAATTTGCAGCAACTCATTTACTTTGATAAGTAGTTTTCCATTTTTTTCTTTGATCAGTTGTTTTCAAATGATATACAGCAACTCTGCACTTTTTCATTTCAAGTGATTTCCTTGAATTACTAACATGATTAGAGGGGTCACTGAAAGATCTAGATGAAAATTGAAGCATTATACCATCTGACAGAGGGGAACTGGAGTGTAAACCACATTGCAAGGGAAATTATATTTAGCACCCTTGAACTATTACCCCGGTTTACTTTACATCATCCACTATTAATTATCTCACATTTTTCCTCACTGTCCATATTAGCTTAATTTTTTCCCAACAGTCGAGACTTCGACATAAAATGCCCACATGCTTGTTGGATTTCGTACCAATGTGAAACTAATTAACAGAGTTGGGGGGACAACATAACAGAAATGCTCATCCAAAAATCTAAAAATCTTTGGGTGTCGGTGCACTATGTGAAACCATTTAACACGGTTGAGGAATAATGTAAGAAAATTAATAGTAGAAGCGTAGATAAGGATGGGGAGCATTGTTTAAGGGAACAAAGTATAATGCGCCTCCATTGGAAAATTGTTCTGTTGTGAGTGTTAAATAATTTACTAATAAAACAATGGTCTAGTTGAAGTGATGTCTTATTCTTAGGCACTATTTTAATAGTTTGATCTGTAAAATTAAAATAAGGTTGTAACACCGATCCCTCGCGATCTACTTTCTATTAAAAACTTTGGGAATCCCGTATCAGCCTGGCCCCTTTGTTTGGAGTTGTATTATAATACACAAGTAGTGACAGTGTTAGTTATGTGATTGATGCAAATTATTGAATCATCATTTTTATAATGACAATAATTAGAATAAAAGGCATAAAAAGAAAACAAATTGTTCATTTTTCAAATTTAATCAATGGACTGGACTTGTTGAAGTAAAGAGAATCAAACACATTTTTTGTGGGCTTACACTATGCAGCTTGTGGAGAAGCGGGCCTATCAGTTCGAGTTTGAATTCCAATTTAGATGGTGAAGCTTAACCTAACATAGGTCTTTATTCTTGGAGTTCACATGGATGGTGCGATTGAATTTAGAGCAGTTGTGTTGGTTCAAATTCAACCCTTTGTATTGACACGATTTTAGAAGATCCATTCGATATCCTTTCTACCCCTCATGGCTTCCCCCTTGAACACACACACACCCCAATGCTCTATTTTTGTCTGAGTAATGATTTTACTTTTCTTTTTGGCACTTAGATTGGGCATAGAATAATTAGAAAACCGTGAATTTCTTCTTTTGTGAAGGTAAACCATGGCAATTTGGTGAAGCTAGAGGGCTTCTGCATAGACCCTGAAGAGGCAAATTGCTATTTGATCTATGAATATGTGGAAAATGGATCTCTACACTCATGGCTACATGGAAACAAAAATGAAAAGCTAAGCTGGAAAACCAGGCTGCGAATTGCAGTTGATGTTGCTAATGGTCTGCAGTACATTCATGAGCACACAAGGCCTCGGGTTGTACACAAAGACATCAAGAGCAGCAACATTCTCTTAGATGGAAACATGAGAGCCAAGATTGCGAATTTTGGGCTAGCAAAATCTGGCTGCAATGCCATAACAATGCACATTGTTGGTACTCAAGGCTACATTGCTCCTGAATATCTAGCTGATGGGGTGGTCTCGACGAAAATGGATGTGTTCTCATTTGGGGTGGTGTTGCTTGAGCTGGTCTCGGGGAGAGAGGTCATCAACGGAGAAGGCAAGGTTCTGTGGGCAAACGTTGATAAAATTTTAGAAGGGAAGGAAGAGGAAAAGACGAAGAGATTGAAGGCATGGATGGAGGATAATCTTCTGCAGGAGTCCTGTTCCATGGAGAGTGTCATGAATGTAATGGCTGTTGCTGTGGCTTGTGTGCATAGAGATCCTTCAAGGAGGCCTAGTATGGTGGACATTGTGTATGCATTGTGTAAGAGCGATGAATTACTTTTTGATGTCTCCGAGAATGGGTTATCACCGCGTCAAGTAATAGCAAGGTAAGAGTTTTTTTTTTTTCTCTCTTTCGATTTAGAGGGGATTTAAACCCACAATATGAAGCGGGAGCGGGAGTGAGCTTTTCAGAGACCACCTGAAACCACTAGGACAAGACCCATGATGGCACTAGCAAGAAGATAGATTGGGGCACAAGTTATGATGGCATGATTTGTAAAATATTCAGTATATGAAGGGGAAATTACAAAGGACATGTCAATATTATTGTTTATTTCGTAATCCTCCATTGTGCATGTAAAATATTGTGCGGGCTCGATCCTGCACGATATATAAAATATTGGGAACAGATCTCTCCCCTGGTGAACTCTGAGTGAGCCGGTTGAGTGGCCAAACACACTGCTTGAAACAACCTGTGAGGTATGGTGGCAACCTGGAACGGCGAAGGAAGATCCTGGGAAAGGAAGAACGATCCTGTACGTGTGAAAGGTATCTCCTGGAACAAAGGAGAACAAGTTAGAAGGGCGCCGGAGTGTTTTCCGGCGTATCCCCTCCGACGGTCTAGTCAGTCTTTGAATGAGAGAGAGGAAGAAGAAAACACTGAGAAGGGCTGTATTGTAGTAGAGAGTTTGTGATTGCATACCCGCTTTGTCTTTTGGGAGGGGTATTTATACCTTAGAAGTTCATGATTGCTGTCAGTGTGGTCAGTAGGTGATTATCAGGCACAGGTAGCGTGTGTAATCATTTGATGAGGAATGTCTTCTCTAATTGACTGCTCGGGGTCCCGAGCAATCAATGCTGAGTTGTCGGGACGCCGACGGTACAATATGCTCCTTTCGGGAAGGATGCAATAAATGCTCTGTAATAGGAGCATTTATTGCCTTTCATATCCGAACCTTACCGCATTGAATGCGGTCTCGTCAACAGAAGGGTGCAATTAATTGTTTGCTTTCCCAAGTCGCGTGCCAGCAACGGCATGCGGTTTGTCTGCTTCGGATGTGACATTATTTGCCACGCGTCCATCCCTTATTGGCTGTTATGTCGGTATTCCAGCACGTTCTGACATTACTTGTGTAAGACGAGGTCATGATGAATAGTCTAGACTGGCATAGGCTGATGTCCCAAACGTCAGTAGCTTTATTTGGGAGTAGAGGAAGCGTCCAGGATGGAGTGACCCTCGGCACCGAGGAAAGGCTCACCTCGGGGACCGAGGGTGGTATGTTTCCGAGGTACACGGGTGACCGAGGACACGTGTTGTTGTATAATACACCGAATGCATGATCCTATATGAGAGGTACCTCGGGGGAGAGGACACTTTTTGCCGATGGTGCTTAAATCCGAGCAACACTGTTCTAGAAACCCCGAGGACACGTGTCTTCATCATAGGGCTTTTCAGAAGAGTCCCATCAAAAGCCCCCCAGCCTTTGATCTTCTGACACCGAGGACACGCGTTTTAAGGAGACGAAGGGTTTCCCAACTGCCATCCGTCCTTCATTATGGCCTCGAGCAGCTTTCCCCGTCTTGGGATGTCGTGCGCATTAAATGCGCTGTTTTGGTTCTCCCGCCCAATGATGACAGTTTCCCCCCTATATAAAGGGGGTTCTTCTCTGGTTTCCATTGTTTTGCCATTCCGATCTCTGACCCAGAATACGCCTTTTCTGATCTGCTCGCCGGAGTTTTTGTTTCCTCAGCCATCATCGACAGCATCTTCTCTTAAAATCACAGTCAGTAAACCCATTGTTGACTCCTGGTCCTTCCGGTGCGAGTCGTTTTCAAAGTTTTTCCTGAAAAACTCCGTTTCCGACGTCTTCTGGTGAGTTTCACAACCTTCTTCTTTATCGTCCTCCTAGCCTTTTTGTTTTCCGATTGAACGGTGGTGTCATCCGGTCGGTACGTCTTGATTTAAACCCTCGGGGAACTTCCTCAGGTTTTCAAGAGAGAACACCATTTCCTTCCCTTTCTTTTAGAGATGCCTCGTCGTCGCCCTGCTCCCGAGAATCCATCGGCTGGTCCCTCGGGGTCAGGGAAATACAAGGTCACAGGCGAGGCGCAGATCGACAGGTTCAGGGTTAAGTATGGCATCCCCCCGAGCGTGGACGTAGTGGGCTTTAACCCTTTGTTGAACTCTCCTACCTTCGGGGCCGCGGATGCCATGCCTTTCTATACCAAGGCCATCATAGAGGGTGGAATTAGGTTTCCTTTACCCCCCCTGCTTCTTCAGTTCCTGTCTCGCTTCCGTCTCTTCCCCGGGCAATGCTGCCTCAACGTCTTTCG